AAGTAAGGAATCCTGAGGGCATGGTCCTGTCTTTAGTCAGGATCATTTTCTTTCTCCTGCTCAGGACTGAATTGGGGCATCACACGAGATCTATTTAGATGTGTTTGCATGACCCCTCTAGTTAACTTATTAAGTCAGTTGTGGAATCATAAAGTAATCAAATTAGCTAGGTTAGCACATCACTGTTAGGCTAAATCATTGTCACCTTGTTTCTGATCATTGCGTCATGTGAACACACCATGTGTGTAGCAGGGTTGAGCTGCAGCCATCTCTGACATGGAATAACTCTTTTGCTTGACAGTACAGGTAGTCCTCAATTTACAACCTTTCGTTCATAGTTATGAAGGATTCAAAAAAGATCTACTGACATGACCCTTGTACCACCCCTGCAAGTAACATGATCATAATTTAGAGACTTGGCAACTGACTTCAATTTATGACCAGTTGCAGCATCCAATCATATGATTGTGATTTGCAAGCTTTTTTGCCAGATCCCAGCAAAAACAAAAAGCTAGGTAACCTCAACAACTGTGTGATTCACTTAACAATTGTTTGATTTGTTTAATGGCAGTGGTAATTTGCTTAATAAACAATGTCATAAAAATAATTGTAAAATCGGGTCCAGCTTGGTATACAACTGCAATGACTTATAAATGAAGATGCCAGTCCCAATTATGGTCATACGTCAAGGACTATCTGTACTGAGGTATGAGAGAGAAAGAGAGAGAGAGAGAGAGGGAGAGAGAGGGAGAGGGAGGGAGAGAGAGGGAGAGAGAGAGAGAGAGAGAGAGGGAGAGAGAGAGAGATTGAGTTGGGCTTCCACATGCTAAGAAATTGCACCAGGTTTGTAATAGATTTAGTGCAATGTTCTGATCAGAAAGCTAATGCCTCTCTGTTACACACTGAATATGTAAACGCATGATCATCTGATAATAGGAGCATGCTTTGTAGAGTATCCCTGGGATGACTGTAATGACTTACTACCTGCATGCAAACATACAAAAGCATTACATACTATATACCATGTCATATAGGTCTGCAAAATGCACACTGGTATATGGGATGATATACTTTACATGTAGACCATGCATACATGTGTACATGTATACCTTGAATCGTCCAGTTCCAATTCACAACAGTCTGCAGTAGGTATTCTGAAGTGCTGCAGATAGGCTATACAAGCACAACAATGGATCTCCTGGTATTCATTTGTATTGGTCTAGATCAGCCTTCTACTATTTGGTGGTCTTCAAATGTATAAGATAAAAACTTTCATAATTCCCAGACAGCATGAGTAGTTTAGTAGTAGTTTAGCTAAAGAATATCAGGTTGGAGTTGGATAGGTGTATGGATAGAATGGATGGATAGACAGACCAATATCCAACAAACATACATACTATACTATATTTTCATAATATAATGTATGTACCTCAGAATAGCATCTGTGGGCTGTGTGTTCTCCACTACTTTCTTTTAATGGAAGGGAGTATAGAAGTGTTTTTAATAAAATAAATATTAAAAAATAAAACAAATTCCATGCATATTAACAGTAACATATACATTGTACCAGGGCTTTTCAAACTGAATTCTGTTTGAATTTGATGGGGTTTCCTGAGAAACTATGGGGGGGGGGGAACCTCAACTAACTTGAATATAGAAAGTTGCATAAATAAATTCTAGGCACCAACTTTATTTTATTGGTAATGTTTATCCCTAGAGTTTTGCCTTTTGATTAGGGATTCCAATGTTTTTTAGCAGATTCTACAGCCTGAAAAAAAATTGAACCCCCCCTCCCCTCCCACCCTCAGTTATATGACTCATGTGTCAGCAGGTTTAACCTGGAACATATATTTAAATTATGTTTCACATATTCCTTCATCAAATAGCATATTAATTACATGCATTACATTAATATTATGAATCTACTTACAATGATTTGACCCTCACATGCACCATCTGGAATAAACTCCCATTTAATTCAGATCATGCTACCAAGAGCCTGTTGTGAGTTATAACCAATGAATCTCCAAAATTCTCACTGGGAAAAACCAGGCATCCTTAGGCCTCCTCACTCCGTCCCAGAACCAACACCATTTTCAGAGCAGCTACAATGAATCATGGCCTTTTCTCACTGTGATTAGCACAATGAAATGTTCCTTCCATTGGGAGGAGGTGTATGGAGACAAAAGTATGGGGCCCTGTGATGTAGGATGAGGGCCCCGTGGGGCCAATGGGATGGCAAGCAAGGCAGGAGATGTGAGAGGCTTTGAGAGGCCCAGAGTAGGCCACATGTGAGTTAGGAAAGTACTGCATTGCAGGCCTTGGCTTGCGCTAGGCCTCCCAGGGCTTCCCCTACCTCTGAGTAACCCAGGCTCCATTTAACGACCACATCAGAAAAAAGGGTGGAGGTTGCTAAGCAGAACTATCACGTGATTGCTTCAGACAGATAGAGAAATATATATATATATATATATATAGAGGGAGAGAGAGAGAGAGAGAGAGAGAGAGAGAGAGAGAGAGATCTCGAGTTACCTTATTGTAAGATAGGCAACCAATACATTTTATAAATAAAAAATAAATGTGTAATGACTTGCCTGTATGAGATATGCAAAATACTTCAGTCATAACATGTTCTAGTCCCATGCATCTCCTATATTGTCTTATGAAGCAAGTGTGGCTGAATGGTTTTTTTCTGTGTTGCACAATCGGCTGTGAGTTGTGTAGCAAGCATGAAAGTAGTGACACTTAGGATCTTCTACAAGGGGAAAAACAGGTTTTTAGGAGAGGGGACAGAATGGAAAGTCATGGCAGGAATTGCTTTGGCAGCAAAAGGGTTTTTCAGATTAAATTCCTCCTCCTCTATTCTATCTGTGATCCCTATAATTATCGGCCTCTCTTTCTTGAGGATAAGTGCATTTTTTGGAAACATTTTTTGCAAAGTTTTTTCCCCTTTTCTTATGCAGGATATGCCCTTTATTTTTTTTCTCCCTGCATTTTATATATTTTGGAATGTTTGGGGCTGAGAGGGAATTATATAGATGCCAAACAGAATTATAAATCAGATGAATTAGGGAAAATCAGTGTTTGGGAATATTTTGAATAGCTTTTTTTCTGGCATTCTACTTTTGGATGAAAATGGATCTTATTTGGAGGAACCATTCGCATCTGGAACAGTTACAACTACATTCCAGAGTTGCCCAGAAGTGGGAAGTTAAAAATTAAAAAAAATCAAGATGGTAGCCAGAATTGTATGATTGAAGCCCCATCTCTTTTTCACATATGCTGAAAGAAACTTAAAAGGGGCAAGGTTTCAATTCACATGTTTGTGGCCACCCTGTTGATTTTTTGACACTCCTCCCCCTGGGGACACCTTTGATGGATCTCAGATTGATAAAACAAAGGAGAGGGCTTTGTACTCCTGAGTTCTGCTTCCTCAGAACAGATTGTCCTTTGAAAATAGGAAAAGCTAAGGGGAAAATGACATCTCTGCTGCTCACCCCTCTAACAATGCTGTGAGAGCCTGTAGGACAGTCCTTTTCAAACTTGGTCATTTTAAAATGCATGAACTTCAACTCCCAGAATTCCCCAGCCAACAAGGAATTTTGGAAGTTGAAGTACAAACATCTTGAAAGCAGCCAAAGTTGAGAAATGCTACTATAAGGTGTAATTTCTGAAGTTCTGGACCAAAGCCAGGAAAATCAGAGCTAATAGTTTTCAATTCATGTGGAGAGCATGGGGCAGCCCATTTCCAAATTTGCTATCCCAGAGTTCTCCCCTTGACGGTAATGATAGCAGCCAGACAACCCAGGCCCAGTAGGATTGTGAGGTTGGATGAGAAATTAATTTACGGCGCTACTGGGAAGGAAGGAAGAATTCATTTGAAGCCCAGATGAAACAATGAATACCAGTCTCATCACTGATCACTAGATAATTACAAATATTGTTTTGATTTAAATAATTATTTACTTAAGGGTTTTTTTTTAACTCAATTATTATACAGTTCAAAGTTGAGCTTTGTATTGAATATGGCATGGGTTTGTCATGGTTGGTGATTTGAGATGCAGGCTAAGGTCTAAAGTGAAGGAATCGGGGCATTTCCAGACATTGTTTTCAGTGGGCAATTATTCTGCCTTATTCATAGCATTTTAAAGAAACAGAAATCCAGATGACCCTGTTTTCTATAGGTAAATATCTACTTTAAAAAAAACACTGAAAAAATAATGAAAGAGAAGATGGAATGGTTGCACTAATGCTTTTGACTGGCTTTAGTAGGTCACTCCACTGGAAATATCTTCAACCAGATTTAGCAGTTTTATATAGCTAGTTAGCTGTTGTATCTGCTGATCTAGGAACTTCCCTATAACTGTCTAGATAGCGGTATGGAAGTACTGAAACAGCATCAAGTTTGGTTTTAGAAGGCCCCAATCCGCACAGCCATTGTTGAGAATTTCAGGGATGGAAATCCACTCACTTATAAGTGAGTGCCAAAGTTGGGAATAGACACTAGTATTCAGGGGTGATTTTATAAACCATAAACCGACATTCCTCAACAACCACCTTCCAATTGTGTTGAGAATCAACTTCTAAAGCATGCCAAATTGTGGGAAGACTGCTCTAAACCTCCACAACGTGCGACTTAATATAAGTAAAAAGCTGTTTTAATTAAAACAAAATAAAATCGGAGTGCCCCAGTTTGGACCATAAAGCCAGCATCTCTGCAGCTGATGAAGAATTGGGAATGGAGGAGAAAAAGCTGCTGCTTCAGAAATCATGATTATGAAACCACAGATTTTTTAAATGCAGCCAACATTGGGGTAAATGGAGCAGATCTGAATCAGTGTAAAGTTATCAGTGAAGCATAGCAGAAAGTAGCTTTTTCCCCTCTGTATGCTATTGAGATTGCCTGACAGAGTGCCTTTAAGTCTTAACCGGACATGTGTTTTGTTCATTCATTCACTTCTCTCGTCTCTCTTTTTCCTTCCTGACAGCACTCCCCACAGGCTATGAGAAGTCCCACAGCCTGAACAGCATTGCTGGTCTACCTCCATCTCCAGCACCCCCTTCCTTTGGCTCACCTGGTTCCGTCCGACGTCCTCGCTCGCCCATTCCTTCCATACTCTAGAGACACACCAGGAATGCTTGGGGTTAGCTTGTATGTTTGTTTCTTTAAAAAAAAAAGAAGAAGGAAAAGGAAAAAGAAAAGGTAATGCCAAAAAATAGGGGGGCAGAGTTAAAGGCAAAGAAAACACTCTCTGCCAAATGCATTGGAACACACGAAATGCGGGAGACACCCATAGAGGTGGTGTTGCACTAAATTTGCACTTTCTGGAGCATCCATGAGAATTCTGAGGCCCGAAGCCTTCGATCCCCGTAGCTTTGAATCAGGAGTACAGCTTAAGCATCTACTGCGGGAGGAAGGGTAAGGGATGGTTTGCTCTGAAAATCCAAACACTCAAAAAGCAGGAGAGGAGATGTGTCAAGGACAAACATTGCAGGAAAGAGCCCAAGGCCCTCCTGTCTGGATTCTCTGCATCCTTCCCTTCATCCACCTTACCAGACTGCACAGTATTTCTCTGACCCTGGCTTTGCAGTTTCTCTCTGTTTAATGCTCTTTCCCTTTTCATCATCTTACTCAGGACTTTAATGAGCCATAGAGCCTTCCTTCCTTCCTTTCCTTCTGTTTTGTGTCTCTCGGTCTGCACCTTGTTATCTACGTTTGATTTCTCTTTCCTTCCTATCTATCTCTGAACTTTTCCCATAGAAATATCTATCTCTCTGTTAAATCTTCCCTCACAAACGACATGTTTCCAGTCTTTCTACCTGTCTCTCCCTTAACTTTCCTTATTTCCTTAATGAGCGGTTCTGGTTCTTTAAACACATGGACCCTCTACCGTTCCTCTGAAGAAGGCCATCCACTCATCTGCCTTGGGTCTTCTGTCTTTCCTTGGAATTGTTCTTCTGTTCTGTGCATGGATCTTCCATCAATCACAAGCAATAAGGTCAGACTCTCCCTTCTGCCTGGATGCATGATAACGACTTTCCTATGATGTAGATAATCCAAGAATAACCAAGTTCCCACAGATGAAACAGCTGAGGGTAAGCGCAGAGACCAGGATGGAGTCTGGGAGAAGGCAACTTCAACATCTGACTAGGTTTGAAGGAGAAGCTAGAGAACCATCCTCCTTCTTTTGCCTCTCTCTCCTTTCTTCTCTTTTGTTTGTCTCTTTTTCCACACACAGAAAAAGACAACGGAGCACTACTTGTTGAGGTGGGTGCTTTCACTGTGATTTTTTTCCTGTTTCCATCCAAAGTTGAGATGGGATGCTCTTTTGATCTGATTGCAAAAAAAAAAAAAGAGTGGGGAAAACAAAGAGATATGAGAACAACAACCAAGAGAACGCAGGAAAAAGAAATCTATTTTTCAACTGAAAAAGAATAACCGCAGGATCAGAAAATTTATTGGCAACTGCACAGGGAAAGATATTTCCCTATGTTTCTTCTGGAACAAGAAAATATAGGACATGTCACTGAGCACTTGAGTATGGGACACCTGGTTTTTTCAAAGCAATGCTGCTGATACAGACAAACGTAAGGAATAGCACCACCGAGCTAAACTATTTAGAATCTGCATTTTCCAAGCCAGCATGTATTTGCATGTAATACTGTAAGCGACAATATTTAATGTTATATGCAAAAGCAAATGAAAAAAAAATGACAAAAAAGAACTACAAAAAAGCAAAAAGAGGTATATTTTCCTTCAGGACTTGCAATCCCCTGCAACAACAAACATCACCAAATTTAGCAAGTACCCCCTCCCCCTGACCTGTTTCCATCCTGCAAGGGGGTAAGAAGCACTGCACATTGTAGGAGGTGGATGTATCCTAAAGGGCTTTTTCCTTCCCTGGGCATGTATCACGGATGGCGATAAGAGCGAGCCCTTTGTCCTAGAGCAAAACCCAAGAGCTTCTTGTTTGTTAAGAAAATGTTCATATGATGTGAAATAATGCAAGGGGGAAGAGTAGCTTATACTCATTGCTAATTCAAGTAGTAAATTCCAGAGGAAAAGACAAGTAGGAGGGCAGCAAGGCTGGCGTTTTATTATGTGGACATTGAGGAAGTAGCTTGGCGGGAATATAAAAGGCAGGAATTTGGTCAAGCTGGGAATAAGACATTGAGAAATGCTGTACTACAATCCCTTGTATATATAAAGGTGTTACCTTTAGCTGATATATATTTTAGCACAGGAATTCTGTTTCATCAGAGTGGTGTAATACTCCAAGCGGCGTGTTCCTTTTGTAGATGTTATCTTATTGGAGGCTACCAATCTTCAGTGCCTCAGCTTCCATTCAAAACCTGTTTTCCTAGCAATTAATTGTAGGAGAAAAATTAAGCACCTCAACGTGGTTCAAAACTATACACAACCAGTCTGGTTACCTTTTTTTTTTTTTTTTTTAGTGAGTGATAAGATTTGCAGATTTGCACAGCTCAAGTTTTCCAATGAATGCACTTTTGAGGAATGCAAAATACCATGTTTTGCAAGATGCTCAGGACCGAAGAGGGAACTGTTAGCAGCATGTTAGTTTCTTGAAGTTTTTAAAAAGAATTTCTTAAGTCTACCCATCCTGTGGGCATAGTTCTGGAGTTGACTGTACCAACAACATATGTCACTGGCAGATTGATTACTTTGGCAGCAAAATATATCTGGCATGTTATCAGAGTGTGAATTAAGTGGGGAGATTTGTAACTGGAGCAACATGGATCATTCCATAGGCAGTCTAAAAATGTAGCTTTCTAAGGCCAAATATCACAAGTAGCTGAAGCAATAGTTGTCCCACTATCATGTATTGTTCTGTTGCCTCTTGTTGGCAGGCTTTTCATTGACAAGCTACAAGCAATGAATGGCACAAACCAAGCTATTCTGTGAAATATGGTCAGTCAGCAGTGATCTGACTGTTTTATGTTATTGGTCCATGTAAAGTCTGTGAGCATGACTAAATGCATCACACCAACTTCAGTATCTAAATGGCTTCTTAGCAAAGGAATAGGTATCTCCATTAAGTAATTTTCTTTATGACCTTATGGTTAAAATAACCAGCACCAGTTACATACTGGTGATATTAGATACATATCATTATGCTGGGTGGGTGTTCAATGCCAGAGAGCTAAAAAAATTATCTGAAGGACCCTCTAGAAGCATTTCTAGTATAGATTTGGTTGGTTGGTTGGTTGGTTATATTGATGATCTGCCTTTCCTTCTCTTCCATAGCATTTCCAAACACCCTACAAAAATGCAATGGTACAATTTGTAATATTCAGTAGAAAAAATAATTAAAACATAAATTGCTTTTCTTTTTTGTTAGTTGTATTAGAAAAAATATATTGTTTAGTTTAGACTAGCATTTTTTTTAAACTTGGCCATTTTAAGATGTTTAAGATGCTGACTCCCTAGTCAGCAAATCTGGCAGTTGAGGTCCATATTTAGTAAAGTTGTCTAGTTTGAAAACACTGACTTAGAAGACCATGGGTATCTAAACTGATTTTTCTCTCTAGCTAATGGCTACTACATATTAATAGATCAAAGGAACTAACATAGTAAACAGTTGAGATAAAACAATATAGACTTTTCTGACATGCCATCAGATCAAAAGAATTCATGATCCATTATTTCAACTGACAGTTGAAAAGGCCTTGTTTTCTTGAAATATTTGTCCTAATGCCCAATCTACATCTGCACTTGTAAAAAAAAGTGCTAGTCTTCACTATCAGAGTGGCAAATGGTTGAATAAAACAAGGATGATTAAAAAAACTAAAAGTAAAAAGAGGAAAGATTGAAATATTTATGGACAGAAAATAAATGGAGACAAAAAAAGTATTTGAGTAATACTGTCTCTGCTTAGTGAGATAACAAACACATAGATTCTTTTTTTCTCCTTTTTTATTGTTTCATAATACAAATGTGGAAATCTTTAACCTTCCTTCCTTCCTTCCTCCCCTTCCCTTCCCTTCCTTCCTTCCTTTTTTTCTGTGAACTAGTCTCTATGGAGCAAAAGTTCTTAAATTAGTGTAGAGATGGAAATAAAAGTATATTTTGGGTTATAAAGCTATGTTTGTATGAGTGAAAAGAATAGCTAGTGTCTTTTCTTAGTCTATTTTTTTAAATTGTTCCCATTGACAATATTTTTTGACTGGTCAGATTTATGGAAGGGTTTACAATATAGTCATGGTTGCTACATTTGTGTGGGTATGGTGTTTTTATAACAATAAAATTGGTCTCCAATAGATATGAAGAATATCTGGAATTGATTCTGGATTGAAATAATTTAATATATATGAGATGCAGTGACAATTGAATGAATATCCATTAGATTCAAATGGAATAAAAACTGTTTCACTTTGCTTTGCAAATTTATAGTTGCAAAATCTTTAGGCTTGTTCGCTGATTTCCTTTCCTTTTCCTGCACATGAGGACCTCTTTAACCCACTTTTTGAAACTAACTATGGATCCCCATTATATCTCAACTTGTAAATCACAGTTGTTCTTGATAGACTTTGTTAAAAGCCTTCAGATCAATTTAGATGTGTGATAGGAAATTGTGGTTTGTTCCAAAACACGGGATCAGAGCTCCCAGAATTTACAATGCAGAATGAGGAAGAGAAATGATGCAAATCTCATTGTACACAAAATATTTTGTCATTACAACTGAATCAAGCAGGATTTTATTGAAATAAATATTTTTTAGTGTATTTTGATAGCTTAGATAGATAAGGCTGCAGTTTCTACATAAGTAAGAAAACACTAAATACAGTCTTTCAGTTTCTACAATTTGTTCTTCATCCATAAAGTTATTATTCCTAGATGTAATGTATGTCAATTAATGTAGCATAATACCATAATTAAATTAGCTAAGATTTTTGGTAGAAATAGTTATTACTGTATTTTTAAACTCCCGCCACAATTTCTATTTCAGCATAATTAGAATCAAGAAATAATAAAACAATAAAATTAAATTAATTGCCCAACATAGTATATTAAAATCCCTCAATTAAGAAAAGTTATATGGCCAATTGAAACAATATTGTCCTGAAAGACAATAAAGATGAAAAGCATTTTAGTATGTTGATGAAATAACCAAAAAAAATCCTGCCACATGTATTCATTTCTCTGCTGCACATCCCCTAAATTACATGATTTCACAGGAAACTATATCACTGAATTAATCCAAAGTAATTAATACTTTAATCATAATTTGATTTAATTAATCAAAAGTCAGTTCCAAAGCCCTCTATATTTGAAGGCTGCAAGTGATATTATATGTCACCAAAATGTCATGCCAATAGCAAGCACATTTTAATTAAAAATTTTGATCCTAATATAACCAATTAAAGACTCCACTTCCTTGTTTTTGTAGTCTAGGATGCTTGTTAAGAAACACACACACACAAACACAAACGTGTGTGTGTGTGTCTGTATGTGTTTGTGTGTGAAGAATTCCCCAGCCAGCCAGAATTCTGAGAATTGAAATCCACACATCTTCAAGCAGCCAAGGTTCAGAAACACTGCTCCAGAGAATTTAGAATTAGATTCCCAAAAGAATGCAACTAGATTGAGATAAATATGGCTGCACCTCTGTTTACCAAGAAAATTGGAGTTTGAAGGAGCCAGACTGTCTTTTTCTTCTAGCAGAAAAAGAGGGTTTGTGTCTTCCAGTACAGCTAAAAACATCACAAAAATTGTTCTGGTAATGAAAATTGCCCTTAAAATCCATGGAGGTTTTCTCACAATATTAAATACCAGCAATGACATATAAAACCTAGGTTATACTGAGGCTATAAACTATGTCTATAGCATTCCCTTTTAGACTCTTTAGGGCACCGTAAAAAAAAAGAACAAAGAAGGTTTAGCACCCAAAAGAACTAAAGCAGAATTCCTAGCCAACTACATTTTGTGCATCTTAGATTTCTATTTGCAGGGGAAATGTTTGAAACGTTTTTTCCTGTAAAAAGTAATTCTGTAGCACAAAATCAACACTGATGAAACTACCCAAAATTGGATTTGATGCTAAGAAATGAGACAATTTGCTCTGAAACGTTTCTTTTTCATTAAAGATTTATGTGTCCATACAAAAAGAGAAGGGGGAAAAAACCCCTTCAGCAGTCCACCACATCTAGTCAAACATACCCATCTTACATACTATGCAAATATTTTTGTGGGTGCCTGTTTGAGCTCACCCCCTCCCCAGACTTGCACAGTTCAAAGGATGGAAGCTCTTTATGCAATGATTTCTATGCAAAATAAACAAAATAAAAATATTAAAAAGTGGCTGGATTCAAGAGGGCAGTTGGGAGCATAGGAAAAACATGGAAAGGATGAATTAATGCAGATGACTATTTTTTTTAAAAAAAAAGGTTTCCTTTTGTGGTGCATATTCCACCAATCTGCTTCCAAAATGGGGACAGTTCAGCTGGTCATATTGACCTATATATCTCTTTGAAGGATATGTCGTTTTGTATGTATATTATAGTTAGATTGTGAATGAAGAAGCTTTAAATTTAAGAAAGAGGTGGTCTTGACAAAAGCTGTGATTGGATGCAGTACTATCTAATATGTACTGTAAAATAAATGCATTAAGTGAACACTTATAGGATTGCATATTGTCTATTTTTTCCTTTTCCATTAATATGACCATTTTGTCTTCTCGTTATCTGGATGTTCTGAATGACTAAGAATAAAAGACATGCCAGTGGGCTTTCTAAACCAGAGATTCCAATAGCAAAGGCTTATGTACAGATCATGTTTGCATTAATTGTAGATTTTCTACCAAGAGTTCTTCTGCCTTTAAAATCTGGATGCAGAAGAGGATGGGGCAGGCTCCTTTAGGATTTCTACTCTGTTGGAATTTAAATCCCAACACAATCCCCTTCCCACCCCATTTAGTAGGGTCAAAGTGCAACTTCCTTTAGCAAGAGTTTCATTTATTTTAATTGCTTTCATTTGTATACTTTGATTTGGCTGGTTTGTCAGAGTTGATTGACGTTGATTGAGTTTGCATAGGACAGTTTGTGTGACACAGTTCTCCTGGATTGTACCATTTCAAAAGATGGGTTGGTGGAAAGGATGTTCCCCAGGCTTGTAAATTGCTAACCTCTCTGGCTTGAACAACATGGTCAGGGCAGGGGAATTTTGGAAATAGATTAAAATAAGTCCTTGATTTTTTCCTGATTATATTAGTAATATGCATGAGAATCTTAGCTAATAATATTTGTTAGGGCTTAGTAACCTGTCTGAATTTGATCTGTGTATTTGAATTCAAGCCCATATTATAAACTATTGTTTGTAGAAAACTAGCAAGTCAGGTAAATAAACTAATAAGCTTGACATTGGAAAGACAAAGTTCTTACTGCAGTCAAGAATTCTGTAGCCCTCTTTGCATTCAGAACAGGGATTGGCCCAAGAGAGTCATAATATCTGTCTTTTACAAGTAAATAATTGGCTCTGAATATGAATCTTGAGATTACATATTTGTAGAATTGATATGGGTGAATCATAGTACCATTTAAAGATCAATATCACTTTCTCTTATGTCATTTCTTTTCACTCTTCCTTTGCAGTATTTTCTTCCTTCACAAGATGAAAAAACACCTATTTTGAATGAAAAATTATGTTAGCAACATAAACATTGCCTTGCTTTTCCATTTCAGATATTGTCATTGGAATAATGTTCTTGCTTGTGGTTTTTGTTGTTGTTGTTGTGTTCTTGAGAAGTTATTGGTCACATATGTCCATAGAAACATTTTGAGCCTTCTCAAAATGTTTGGATGTCTTTTAAATGAGGACACTTGTGGTTGCTTAATTCACTATCACTGAGGCTGAATTTTTATTTAAAAAAAACTAATTATATCATGTCTATTTGCAAGAAATGAAGCCAGGTTTGAGAGATTTTTTTTAACTATTCCAAATCATGGGGGGGGGGGGAGGAGAAACTTTTCAAAAGGAAATAATCTGGAAATGTTAAATATCAGTTATATTTTTCATGTGCGAAATACTGATATCACCTCTGACCCTCTACTACAATAGAAACATACATTTGAATTCAAATATAAGCACAAAGTAAAAAAATCATGAACTTTCTAAGTGCTTTTTCTGAGGTGTTTAGAAAATCAGTGAGTTAAATGACAGCAGCAGTTTTAATAAACCATTTTTAAACTTGCCACATCATGCTAATTTTTCCATTTTTCATCTACAAGAGACTCATTGCTGTTACAAAAATTTGCAGTTACAAATGAAGAAGATTGGATATTTAAGAATATGAAGGATGTCGCCATTCATTTGAAGAAAGCCTTGCAAGCATTTTCTCCATCCTTTTGGTTTAGAGAAAAGATGTAAGGGGGAGTGGGATGAGGAAAACTGGAATAGTACTAATGAATGAATTAGGAGGGGGTTCCAGTTATAGTGGATCTTCAGAGAAATATGCTACTATGAATTCACAATGTTTAAATCATGGATTTAATTGTACTTTGAAAAGGAGTGAATGTTCAACCTGTGCAATTTAATTTCTACTTGGATATCTGTGTAAGCAGTGGTGGGATTCAGCCAGTTCACACCTATTCGGGAGAACCGGTTGTTAACTTTCTAAGCAGTTGGGAGAACCGGTTGTTGGAAGAAATCTTATTTTGTTTTTTTCCACTTTACAGGGCTAATCCTGTAAGGAAGGCAGGAAGGAAACATTCTGGTGTTGTTTCTAGCCTAATCTTAATTGCCCTGCTTACAGAAACTGCCTCTCCGGTTAACCCTTGTTACACTGTAACAGCTAAGGCGAAGCACCCATCGACATGAGTGATGTTGAGTTGGCACGCCTACCCAGTCACATGACCACTGAGCCACGTCTACCCAACTGGTCATTAGAGCAGAGAATTCAAAATTATTTGAATCCCACCACTGTGTGTAAGTGCTTGTAATTACTGACATATCAACCATATGTTTGTGAACTGCCTTTCACTTATGAATGCATAAGTCTTCTTTTTGATCAGAGTTTGCTGCTGTTGCTTCAGAATCTCATAAATAATTCCTCTGTATAAGTACAGAGTGCACTAATAAGAATTGCCAATTTTCCGATTCTCCTTTTTCTTATAAAAAAGGGAAGTACAACCTATATTGGGTAGGCAACCATGGGCCATTTACAAGCCAGGGATTTCAATTCCCCAAATTCCTGAACCAGCCAGGAATTCTGGGAGTTAAAGTCCACAGGTTGTAAAGGGGCCATAGTTGCCCATCCCCCTCCTATATGATGAACCTGTAAGTTGTAAGGTTGGACAATCTGGCTAAAGTAATTATGTTTGGGTATATGCAGATCTTTTAAGTCTGGAAGAATGTCAGTTTTCTCCCCAGGCTCCAATTTAAGATAAATACCTAGAAAGTGTGTGTCATATTGAACATACAGAAAATGACAGCGACAGATTTTCCCCTTTTTACATAGATGGATAAATAAATGGGGAAGTAGCTAAAGTCTGAGCCAAAGCAGATGTCATTTTCTAGAAATTTGTCTTATTCCAAATTTATGATTGCAAGAACAGAAATTTGCAAGGGAAATGCATTCTACACACATTCAGAGGTGTTCTTTATTCCAGTGATCTTGCAAGAGAATAAAGAATTGGATTTAAAAATAGAGAAGCACCTACTTAGGCAAAATAGAGCTCCAGGAAAGCCCTCGTGTGAGTTGTTTACATTCCTTTGTCCATTTTTATCCTCAAAAATCATCAGATAGTCAGTCTGAAAACAGCCTAACGGTTGAAGCCTAGAACTTTGATCCTTGAACGATATTTCCTCCAGTCGAAAACTTCTAGAAGAACCAATCCAATCCAAAATTTATTTTTTCCACTTGAACTTCTTTTTATTTTCACCAGAGATAATGTTCAAACCAAGAGATGCCCTTCACAGTCACTGATGTAACCCATGGTCCTCTTGCACAATCTTTCATTCACACGTAGCGTTCAGATGGCATTGCAGCTGTTAAATGGGATGATAATGTAAGGTGGGTACTAATGGATCTGTCCATGCATATTTGGATCTTCCACAGGTCTGCATTTTCCAGCTAGCACTTTATGGCTCAATATCTCTGAATCCATGCATTTCTAGCCATTTCCCACCCAGTTGAAAATCTGTTGGTGTTGAAGCAGGAAGAATTGTAGTGATCTTTATTGTATGCTTGAATGTGCTGCCAGAGAAAAGGGGTGCCAGCTAACTGATAACATGTAAGGTAAAATCAAGCCTTCTAGGGTGCAATAGCTGGCCATGAATGACTAAATTTTCCATACAAATCAATATTTATGAATGTCTTAGATGTATATGTCATCTGAGAATGGAAGTGTTTTGCTAAATTCCATCCCTTTGTAGCCAGATTAGCCCTAGCTTTCATTTTACCTGATGGGTAACATTTACGCCTAGTACTGTAGTAAATTAAAGTCACAACCAGAATCTGTACATGTAAAAGCCAGGCTGTTT